ATTTCAAAAAAAAAAATGTCAACGAATGCACAATGACAAATTCATTCTTAAATAGAAATACGCAAATTTTTTGAATTATGTTCAGAATAAAAGTTATGAAAAGAACAATAATAAATGACAGAAAGACATAAAATACTGAGAAAGACAAAAAAAAGTTACCAATATAAGAAGAAAACGAATCTTATCAGCAATGCTTGTGCTTATCACAAATTTTTTTAATGTATGTGACCAAAACATCACTGCTTGGCAAAAGATTAAAGGACAAATCGATTGCTTCAATTATAGAATTGAACTGTCACAGTTCTTTTGGGACATCAGTTTTGCAATCATTAAAGATTTTTAGTTTCGATAACTGAAAATATTCAGTTCATTAGTTTTCAGTGATTGCCAAAATCTCTGAGACTTTAGAAAGTAAGTTTTATCATGTAAAAGTATCCTTAGAGATGGAAAAAATTCGAAAATAACTTTCACAAGTTCATAAATTGAAAATTACATCAATTTAGATTCGTTTTATAAGTTTTACTAACTTATTTCTATTTTCTTCTCTTCACAGTAATGCATTTTGTTTGTGCTTAATTTCTCTGAGTGTCACACATATTGTCAATTATTCGTTAAGTGCATCTCTTCTCTTTAACCACTAACCGCTGTTTTAAATTACAACTTTGAAAGGTAGCAGTATTTGAAGAAATGTTCTCATCCTGGAATTCATCTGTTAAACTTAGCAAACTTGGACGATGGTTCTAAATCTTTGTGTCATATGTTTGTTTGGAATATCCTTCCCGCAAAAGTGATGCCTTTGCAAGACTGACGAACTTCATCTGGTCTTTCTCTTAGGGTAACTTCTCTAAAACTAATTAAACTCATCTCATCATAGACGTACTTTGTGTGACCTTTCACCTATTTCATGCCAACATAGCTAACACTTTCACAAGAGCATGCAAGCTTTTCTCCATCTCTTAAATTATAATCACTAAGTAATACGTTAGCATTGTCATTCATTACAAATTACATTTGACTTATATCAGTCAGTGATAAGAAAAGTTTAATTCGAGAAAAGGACCGCCACAGTCTTATCAATTTATTTCAAAAAAAAGGATTTGACATCATTGGTATAATCAAAGCATTTAATACCGTAAGCAGAAAACGGTTACGGTAGATCTTGCAGCGATGTAAGTTCATCAAAATGATTACACTGTTGCATGACGATCAGTGAGCGCAGTCAGCTCATTTATGAAAATTTGCGCTCTGAATCTTTCCCAGTAATCAACGCGTAAACAAGTATATTTTATATCGTACCGGTGATCTCAGAAATTACAGAGCTTTTTAAATTAAATTTTAGTTTGACGGACACATCACGTTAGATCGATTATTATCCTCCTTATATCACATAAATTTAATTAAACTTAAATCAGTTCAGCATCATTTCTTGGATCGAAAATGAGATTGGATATAGGCTAAGAAATATACATAAATCATTAGAAATACTCTATGGAATAACAAGTATCTAAAGAAAAAACTTAATATCTTTAATATCTACAGAGCCATCATACTATCTACTCTTCTGTACGGAAGGATCAGAAGAATCATGGACAATCTATCGTCACTTTAAACTGTCCCATTAACGTTGTCTTTAAATCATTCTAAATCCACTACACTGATCAATGACCAATATTACTGTCGTTGAACAAAGAAGGACCACAAGTATAAAGGTTATCTTACTTAAACTTAAGATGCTAGACGGGTCATATTTTAGGATGGAAGATTATAGCTTCTTAAAATTTTGCTCCGTGATTTATTAGCCATCGCAGTATATAAAATATCCCAAAAAAAAAAAAAAAAAAAAAAAAAAGAGGTACAAGGAATTCCTGAAACAATCTTTTTTGTCTAGGACACAGTAACTGCCATCAGTGGTTGACAATCGAAAGACGTGGTGGTAATATCATCCAATGCGTTACTATTGGATTTGAGAACATATGCAAAAGGTTGTATTCCATAGAAGAACGTTTTAACAGTAATTCAGTATGGATCTTCATGAAGCCAAGCCATGAGTAATTTTAGAATTAAAATGGTTGAAGTTGTGTAGATTGAATTTTATTCTTCCTAAATAGCTCACTATATTCTAATCGATATTTTTTTTAGCTTTAATAACTTACTGATCTCAGCGAAAGTATTAGTTTATATTATCGTGATGAATTGTTATAAAATTTCCTTCCATTATCTCTGCTCATGTAATAAGCATATAAATTCGTGCTATTATCACTCTGCTGCAAATGTGATAATCAATCTCTCACGTCATTAAGTATTACATCGATAAATCAATTTAGCTGCTAGCAATAATTTGTGCTAATTTGTGCTTAAGAACTTATTTTCCAGATAATTCTTGAATTTTAGTAGTAAGCTGCATTATCCTTACCTTTATTTTCATCGTTCAGTTGTAATTTAACTGTTTATTTTACAATATGCCAAATTAAAGTAAATCATTTTTAGATTTTAATTAGTTAAAGTAAATCATTTCTATTCCAATTTCATACTATAATAAAACTTTTGCACTAATTCTCCTAGCCGTACTGAACTACTATTATCTCCATTGCTTTCATCTGTGATGTCACACATAGTTGAATTTTCAAAAAAAAAACAGATGGAAGATGATAATTCAGTTTTTTTTTTTTTTTTTAAGAGTAAAGATGGAAAATTTTAAATACAGAGAGAAATTTTTGCTCGTTACTGCTTTCAATCTTTTAATCATGGCTGTTCACTTTAACCAACCTACAATTTTATCTTTTCTCAAACGAAAATTAGAATTAAAAAAATAGATAATGAGAAGGTTTAATTTTTTTTTAAAGTGTGAATTTGTTAAAAAAAAAATAAATAAATAAATAAATAAAACAAAATTATGAGAATTTCAATTGACCAATTGATGATTTAACCGATGGTAGCATTATAAGCTTATAATTTTATTCAGATCATTGTTCAACTATTATCGCTTTTCTTTCTCGCAGAATTAATTTCTAATTTTGAAAAATAGTCATTTTAGCAGAAAAAAATGATGACTAATCGTAATACATAATAATAATCAACATGTTATTATCATTATTATTATACTGTATTACGATTATCATAAGTTCATATGATAACTTAGTTGTTTCTTACGATTAATAACTTAGCGTGCACATAATATACAATAGGTAATGACCAGATAAATTTTCATACTTAGAGAAACTTATAATCTTCAAATGATTCGAAAATGTTTTTATGCTCCATAATTGTCATTTGTCAACATAGCCTTAGAAAGTAATCGATTTCAAAGAATTTATTGTTAGTGGTATAATTTGCATATCATTTGCTATGTAATTTAGATCAAGTTCAATTAATGTTACTTGTTATTACTACCTAACAGAGATTAAAATTATTTCAAAAACTGAGTGTTAAATTTTAAAAAGTAATAATTCTTTCTTTAACTTACTAATTCACTGATCATTTTGAGAAATTTAGATTATTTAGATTTATGGCATAACGAATAAAATGAGGAAGTGATAATAATAGTGATAATGATGATAATAACAATAATAATAATAATCGATATATTATTATTATTATTAAAATGTATTGCGATCGTTGTGAATAGAGGAACTAATTCAATAGCTGCGTTAATTACGCTCGTACTTCTCTAACGCAAATCACTTCCGTTTTGAAACCGGAAGTGATTATTATTCAAGTTTATCTGAAATCTATATGAATTTTCACGTAAGAATTTTATAATTAACAATAAATCGAAAATGCCAAATGAATCAAAAAGATAGTCCAATAGTCTCTTCACAAATGTTTCTAATTTAAATTGTTTCTTGTAATTTTCAGTTATCAACAAGTTTAGAAAGTAATCGCTTCTAAAGAAATTGTTGTTAGGTAACGGTAGAAACTATCATCCAATGAAAGTAATTTACTAAGAAATTTAAACGCTCAATTAATATCACTTGTTATTATCACTTTATAAAGGTTAAATTTATTTGTTTCAAAAATTGTGCATTGAACTTTAAAAAAAAAAAAAATAATTCTTCTTTAAATCTAAGAAATTGTCATCATTTCGAATGGCAAAATAAATATATCAAATAAATTAATATGCATAAAATGAAATTGCAAAAGATACAAATTTATAAATAAATTTGCATGCAAACAAAGTAAATAGAAGTTACTTTTCATCATAATTCTTATAAGCAATGATATAATTTTAATTTGATATCGATGATGAGAATTTGAATGCTCTTATCACAGAGCTAAATGTCATTTGAAAGTGTTTGTTTCTGTGGCAACCATATTAAAATCAGTAGACAGCAATATTTGTGCAATTTCTATTTCAGATTCATTAAAAATTAACTTATAATCTGATAGCTAAGATCATTTTGTCATATCACTTTTACTGAGCAACGAGACATTGAGGAACGGAATGTCATTTTTAAATAACTGAATCTCGATGATAAACAAATTCAATCTTTTTCGATATTTTTACTTAAAAATTTAAGTTTTAAATCTGATATATAAAATTGAAAGGAAACTGACCATTTTTTTTCGAAAATTTGACTTATTTTATTCAAAATGTTTACATTGTGATAACTCTTTCGAATTTACAGATTTTTTTTTTTTTTTTTCAATATACAATTTTACTTTTAATACAATAAAAGCGTTATTTGCTTATTTTTACGCTTTTACACTTTCATGTAATTTCAGAATCTGAAAATTCTCCTAACACACTGCAAGTATTTACCTGTATTTACCTGTATATTTTATTCTGTGACTTGCAGTATTTCAAATTTTGCTCAATTCATTGAGAATTTTCTTTTCTTTTTTTTTTGTTTTTGGTTTTGCCGAGAATGAATAAAACGTTTGAAGAACTTTGTGCTGAAGCATATCATTTACAAACAAATTTTCTTTTTCAATCGATTCAATTTCTCTTCGTCATTTCCAATATTACTGGAATTATTCTTATGTTATATGTTTCCATCAATATGATCACAAAGAAGGTCAAACTTTAGATAATAGTTACTCATTTGATTAGAATTCTTCAAATTTTTAAATAAATTTTTTTTGCATTTTGTTAATTTATGATTCATTCCTTTTCTCATTAATTATGACTTTATAACTTTTGATTAATAATTTATTAGATTTTCATTTTTTTTGAAACTATCATTTCATTACCAATTGATTTTAGCATAAAAAGAAAAAAAAAAGAGAAAATCAGCAATTTAAAAGTTTTAAATTGAGGTTTTCATTTCTTCCTTTTTTTTTTTTTTTTTTTCAGATATTTCATATAAATATGAGAATTTTACTGATAAATTTGCTGGCTTTATTGCTTTTCCGATCGTTTGTAACCATTTTTCGATCTTCATCTTTTATCTACCGTATGTTGGCTTACAAGGTTGCATTTATCTCGAAATTAAAACGAACCAAATTTTGCATTTATGCCTTCTTCAATTACCTTGAGATTTATTTTATTACTTTATTTTATTACTTTGAGATTCTATGATAAATTAATTCTGTAAACAAATTTCAATAAGTTGCAAGCGAGAGTAATCGATTAGATAATTTTATTACTTTATTATTACTTTATGATTCTATGATAAATTAATTCTGTAAACAAATTTCAATAAGTTGCAAGCGAGAGTAATCGATTAGATAATTTTATTACTTTATTTTATTACTTTGAGATTCTATGATAAATTAATTCTGTAAACAAATTTCAATAAGTTGCAAGCGAGAGTAATCGATTAGTTAAATCTACCATTTTTAGGATCCATGTCTCTTTCTAATGGACTCTCTCAAGTGCACTATTCTAACCAGTTTTGGTTCAGCACCTGTCAAATGTCTTGCACATGCATTTACTGCAATTACAATTGAACGATTTCTTGCTATGTGCTTCTATCAACGCTATGAAAAATGGAAATATCCAATTGCTCTTGCATTTATACCACTTACGGTATATTTTTTCAAACATTCATACTAAAATTTGTAAAGTTTTTTTTTTGAACTTTTAAATTTAAATTAAGTTGAATTATTTAAGTTGATAAATTATGCATAAATTCTGTGATAAAAAAAATAGTATAAAGGAATGAATTGCATTTCAGAAAAAAAAAAAAGATTATAAAATGTGTCAATGAAATGGAAAATAAATGAAATCCTAGAATAGATATTGAAATGAATTTAAAAAAAATTAATCGTTTTTTTTCTTTTTTTTTTTTTTTTTTTCAGTGGTTCGAATTTGTAATGCAAATGAAAAATATAATTTCAAAATTTCACGAACTAATGACACACTATGAAAGTCAGAAGACGTATAAAAGTTATTGCTCATCGATTACTGTCAACAGTATTCCATACTTAAAATTGATACTCGAAATACCAATTTTAATTGGAGTATTCTTTCTACTTCTCATAACACGTATTATCAGCAAGAGAAAAATGATGTTAGAATTATTTTTACTAAAATTGAAATTTAAAAAAAAAAAAAAAGAATTGAAATAATTGTAATCTAAACTATTACCTAATCGATATAAGAAAGAAAGAATTTTACATTAGTAAAAAATTTGATTTTTTACTTATAATTATACAAGTTTGCTTATAATTATGAATTTGTAACTTAGTGGGTTATATCTTCTCTTCAAATAATATCTTTTAATTTAGTCTTCAAATGCGAGCATCAGTTGATACGTTATCATCACGATATCAAATCTGGGAAAATATGAAAACATCGAAGACAATGTTTATCGCAACAATAATGTTTATCATAAGTTCCTTCTTCAATCTGTCTGGAACGCTATTGTTGATATATTTTCCACCACCTAATTTCTTGAATTTTGCAATTTTCAAAGTAAATAATTTTACTGCAAATTACAGTTAGAGTTTAAAAAAAAAAAAAAAAAAAAAATTGTTCCTATCATTTGTATAAATTTCATAAAATATTCTACACTAATGTTTAGAGGATTATAATATTTCGTGTTATTGACAATGGTTACTTATACTAAAAAGAAAAAAAATGATATTAAAAAGAATTGTTTTTTTGCGAAGCTAAAAAGTAAAACATAGGTTACAAAAAATAATTTTAATGTAATAAATGTTATTTTCACTAAATTTAATTTGAACTTTAGAATATTTGTCATCGCATTGCAGCACACTGTCACACTGTCACGTAATTACAGGAAATGACAAGCTTTGCATTGACAATATTTATCAATGCCATATCAATTTTATTCATTGTCAGAGTGGAACAGATGCATGATAAGACAATTAAACGATTATTTCATTGTGGATGTTGTTCGTCTAACAAAGTGGGTGACAAACAGATGAACCAGCCATTGTCAGGTCGACAACATATCGAAATTATCGAGCAAATGTGGGAAAAAGAAATTCGCAAATGATTTTTTTTTCAGCAAATTTTTCAGAAAAAAAAAGAAAAAAAAAATTTTTTTAACAGTTGAAAATATTTGATTTTTAGTAGTGTTTGCGCACTAAATTGTAAAATTTTTCAAATGTTCGATCATTAATTCATATTTAATTAATCTAAGAAAAAGTATCAATGTTTTAACAAAATTTTTGTCTTTCCTTTATTTTATCATTTCATTGTAACAATTGTTATTCTTTCCAATGCAGAATTTATTCTTTGCTTTGAATAAATTTATTGCATAATTGCAATTCTGAAATCAGATATTATTTTCAATAATTAAAATATTTCACATTAACTTTAACTCTTTCATTTATTAATCCTTAATTAATATTTAACTCTACTACCTAAATTTGCCTTTGGTTGTAAATTAATCAATTTGAGTTGTGAGCTAAACTTTAGAAGCATTTAAACTAAAGCTATGGATTTCAAATCATAGAGTATAGATTTAATCTGGCTATTTCTCTTGCATTAGCAGTTAATATATTAACAAATCCTTGTCATTTGCTATCGATTTTGCGTGAAATTTGAGCTTGTCGGTGGTTTCTTATAAATTTTTCTCAATTAATAGCGAATATCCGGAAAATTATGCATTATTATTCATTCGGAAAGAAGAATTTCTCTGAAAAGTTGCACGGATTGGCGGTAAAAGCTTAGTTGAGGTGGCGGTAAAAGGATAGTTAAGTGGCGGTAAAAGGATAGCTGAAGTGGCGGTAAAAGGATAGTTGAAGTGGCGGTATTTTTTCATTTGTATAATACGAACATCTTTTTTTTTCTTAATTTTTGTTTCTTGCATTGTAAGGGAATACAGTTTATTTTTCCTTGTACTTTCTTCACTTTTCAAAAATATTCATTGATCGTTTCAACTTTACAATTTAAAGTTATGATAACAATGATATAAGAATTTATCATTTTTTTTTTTTTTTTTTTTTCATATTTATCAATTGCTCTTTTCTACTTTACTTCTCTTTTGAAATTGACTTATATATTTCGTTTTGCAAAAGCTTTGGTGCCAAAACTTTTTAATTTTAAAATTTCAATATCATACTTTACTGACATTTTATCACCTATTGCTACCATTATCGTTTTTTATTGCAATATACAAATTCGGTTTTACCCAACAATAAAGTTAAGTGAAAGAATAAATGGGTAATAACCCATTTCTTTTATTTAAAAACATACAAATTGCTGATCAAAAATTGTTCTCGATTTCTCGTTTCATTAGCAATTCAACAATTGTTTTGAAGTTTCAACTATCTAAAAAAAAAAGTTAAAAAGGTGTGTTGTCAACTTCCTTGAAAACTTTTCTTTGTCAACTTCTGTGATGAAAATCATTAGATGGTTGTTTAGCCCCAAGGTAAGCAACCTTAGGGTTACATCCAAGCAAAATTTTAAAATAAAATCGTTTCTTTTTTTTTTTTGTTTTTGTTTGATTAAATTGCGCACCAATTTATTCTTTAATTCCTCAAACTATCATTTTCAGTGCATTAAATAATAGAATTAAATTTTGAAAATATTACATTCTATTTATAAATTTTTTATTTTTTGATAATCGATTTTCTAGTTATCAAAATTTATAGATTAATCATTTTTGATATATTATATACCGTTTATTGTAATCTTTGCTTATTTTAATTGATTATCAATGTAATCAAACAGATAAAAATTTGAAATTGTTTTTTTTTTTTTTTTTGTGAACCGAATTTTAAAAAATCGAACTTTAAACAAAACCATTAATGCGAATAAGCTACAAAATTTTTCTTTCTAGACATCGTTATTAATCTATCAATAATATTATCAATTATTAATAGCTGATTTTCAATCATTAATTATTAATAATTAATTTTCCATTCCATCTAATAATCACTAACAATTACTAATATTACTTTCTCTTTCTTTTTCTTAATACATTTAAAAAAAAAAAATTTTTTTTTGTTGTTTCTAATATTTTTCCATTAACTTTTGCTATATGATACTATAATTCTTTGCATTAATCATTAATATTAATAAAAGTTTATTATGCATAAAAAAATTTTCGTTTTTTATTTTTTCTTTTCGAAATGAAAATTTATATTTGCTTCAAATGTATTACTACTATTCATTTCATTTTCTTTTTGAAAAAAAGGAAAAAAACCCAATTGTTTTTTCATTAATTTTATTGTCGGACAGAATGAATTTGTATATTCCAATAAAAAAAAAAAGATTATTTTTAAAATTTTACTTTAAGTTAATTGCTTTTTATATTTTTATGATCTAAGTTATTTGATGTTATGTCTATTAAATTTAATGTTTATTGCAATTTTTATTAAATTACTATTTTATTTTTTCATATATTAAAACAAAGAAAGGTTCCAGCAATAGTCTTTTGCATAAATTTCAATCAAAACAAACTCATTAATATCGAAAAGCATTTCAAATTTAAATTTTACATTAATATCATTGACGTAATTGAAATATTTCCTCTACTTTTTTTTCCTTTTTTTTTTTTAGCATTTTTAAATAGCTCTGAGAAATGAAATAAAACAAAATATGCAGCCGTCATTCCTATGAATAAAAACAAATTTGCCAACTAATTTTTTTAAAAATAAACGAAAAAAACTTTGTCAACGAATCAATTTACTTTTTTCTTGTCATATGAAATAATTTCATTTTTCAATACCTTTTCAGTTGCTAATATTAAAATATTCCTCAATGATAACTGATTGATTTTATTGATTTTATCAGCAGCAAACAAATATAAAACATTAATTTTTCATTTTCATATTAACTGAAATAAACAATGATAATTTTATCAGTAAGAAAAGGTTTTTTTTGGTTTTTAAAGGCAATTTTATCAACAAATGAAAGTTCAAAAAACGAAACGAAACATTTTGAAATTTAAAACTAAATTCTAAATCAAAAAAGAAGGGAAAAAAACGAAGGACAAAGAAAACTAAAAAAGATTTTGGAAAAAATAAAAAGAAAACTACTGCTATATACTTTTTCATTGATGAAAAATTAAAAGTAAGAAATGAAAAAATAATTTAAAATTGTAACGAAACAAAAATTTTTTTAAAGTTAAACTTTATTTATTCTTAATAAAATGCTATAAATTGACCCAAATAATGATGGAAAAAGAAAATTATTTATTAATTAGATGATAGTTCCTAAGTACTCTTATAAGCGAGGACTGCAAAGTTTATCTGAAAAATCATAGTCATTGAGATCAGCGTATTTCATATCGCTCCGCGCAGTCTTCATTGGGAAATTTAGCGATTAACGGTTTCAAGTCTGGGAGTTCCCGGGGTTTCCGCGTATTAATTAGGTGTGAATAAAATATGGAATCATTTGCTGGAATCATAACGATAATATCTTTTTTTTTTCTTTTTTTTCTCGCAAGAAAGACGTATATGAAAATATTACGGTAAAACGTGTCGCTTCATACATCTTACCAGATGTTTCATATTGCGGGTTAACTAGTACGGTTATTATTGTCATTTTGTTTTTAATTGTTAAAATTAACTTCCTACGTAATAAGTCATTGAGTTTTATTTTACTAGTTTCAGGTATAAAATGATCGATTTAGTTTAAATAATTGTGAACGAAGAGATTTTACTGGAGGACAGGTGTATTGCATCAGCGAAAAGAAAGGATAAGCACGAATATAAAAAAAAAAATCTATTTCGAAAACTCTTCATAAATAAATGATAAATTGTATTGGTATGTTAAGTCATTATTTACATGATTTTCTTATTTTTGAAAGGTTTTAGTGAATTGTATAATGCTAGATTTCAGTTTTATTTTCATTTTTCAGACGATGTCTATTCGAAGACGTACAAAGAAAGTGGATATTTCGATGCCAACTAATTTTGAGCACCGTTATCATGCAGGATTTGATCCGGTTACCGGCCAATATCATGGTTTACCGAAGGTTTCTTTGGAAATTTTTTGAAACATGTTGGAGCAAATCCAATTTTGTAATCTTATTAAGGCATTTTCTTCTGCAGTTTTTGTTTGTGTATCTAGTACATTTTCATATAATAATTTATGGCAAACAATGAAGTTAAATGTTTATAATTTTGCTGGACGATTTGAAAAAGATAAGTGTAAAAGCCTTGGTTTCTTATAATTTTGTCAGCAAAGTAATTCGGTAAGGACATATATAATCAGAGTTCTCTTAACTATATCTTTTTCCTAGTTTATTATTTTCGTAGCAAAATTGAACTTTTTTTTAGCAGTGGCAAGCAATAATAGGTATAACTCCAAATAGACGTGGTCGTCCACGACCGATGGTTGATCCCAGTTGTATAACACCGATGGAAATAGCAGAAATTAAGACAGTTGTTCGTGGAGATGTGCCACAGTCGTATCATAAGTATTTTAATTTTAACTTGAATTTAAAGTTCGAAGTATTTCATAAAGGAAAACAAAGTGAAAGCTGAAGAATAGAAGGAAAAAAATTGTCCTAGGAGATTTTATTGATTTCAGTTCTCTAATTTTTAATACTTTTGCTATATACAAGAATAAATGAAATTCAGAATTTCATTAATCAAGTTTCTTTTTTTGAGTGAGTCTCACTATTCATTTGCTTAGTATTTAGATTTTAAAATGCTAGTATTTTCATGTATGCCAATATGTACGTATGACACGCAAATAACTGTACACAAATAATTACAGTTGGTGTTATGCAATGCCTGTACTTCAGAGAAATCAATTTCGGTGGTATGCCAATGAGTAGTAAATTACGAAAAGATCGTAATAATTTGCAAGATGGTGTGCGGAATGATTTCACACGGACGTTACCTATCTCAGATGCATGGACAAGTCTTCACCAGCCGTAGGTTTCGTTCGGTTCTTCAAGAAGCTATGGTGATTAAATATGTAGTTTTATATAATGTAATTATCCAAATTATTACATTTCTAAATGATATGTATTAATTTTGCGTTCTAATTTCTTAATTTAAATCGTTGTTTAGTATGCAACCAAGGCGTCACGCTCAGCAGCATTTATCTGTTAATTTTCAAAGACCTAATCCAGTAGAAATGAACTTACCTCGTACCTCAACATGGCACAATGGTAAGACGTTGGGACAAAAGCTTTGAGATTTCAAATATTATTGGTGGAGAAAGGAAAGAAACTGACTTTTAAATAAATACTTACATACTCGAAAGAATATAAATATTTGTAGGCTGTTGTATCTTTTCATTTAGCTCTTAATCTTCTCAGCAATGTTTTATGTTGCTTTTTGCATTGAAGGCTTACTACAGTCTGTGCATTTGAAACAGAACTCTTCGTATTCTACACAGTGTGATCTGGCAAATGCCGTCGAAGTATATCCGGAAAATTATGCTTTATTGCAGCAGTCGAATCTCCTCTACAGTAGTGGAGTGGGTTCCTTAACGCATTTTTTTTTTTTTTTTTCATGAGCAGTTTTTTACTCACCGTAAATGGAACATAGCAAGATATGAATAATTATCACATCTTAATATTTTTTGTAAAATACTAGTCATAATTAACTGCGGAATCTTGTTTCATTTAAGCCTATTTGATTTTGTTCTTTTTTTATAGTTTCGAAATAATTTCTGATGTTCACATACTAAATTTCTTGGGTGAACAATTTCTTCTTTTTTCTTTTTGTGTGTGTGTTCCATATTTTCATAGTTTTTATTATCGGAACTGAAATATTACTGATGAATTTTCTTTGGATTTTATATTTCACTTTTTGAATTTTTTAGCTACAAGTTGAAATGAATCCTCGGCCATCGACATTAACACATAATGAAGCGTCAGCATATAGGCCTAATAATTCAACGATGCATAATAATATACGGCAGAAACGAGATCAGTCTCATAATCGATTATCTCATGATGAGGTTTTTTGAAATTCATTTTATTTACTTTCTTTTTTTTTTTTTCATTAGTTTTGGTTTCTTCCAACTTCTTAAAAATGGATAATTTCATTAGCCAAATAACTAGCTTTCAGAAGTCTTGCTTAACAAAATTTTCGTTTTTAATAAAAGATTTGTCATTCTTGTTTGATTGTGAGTAACATGGACTCGGAATAGAAGGGATATGAATGTAATTGAGACGAGGATAGCATATGAGTGTATAATCATCATTGCTCAAATAGTCATCATTTAGCTTTCTATTTCATAAAAATACTTAAAACGATTATTAATTTAGTTCCGTGCTGCACTGAAGTTGGTTGTATTACCAGGAGACCCTCGAGCGGACTTGACGAATTATACACAAATTGGTGAAGGCTCTACCGGTACTGTAGTAACTGCACATCAAGTAAATAAATTAATTCAGTTTTCTTTTCTTTTTGTTTATTCTTAATTTGAATTCATCATCGTTTGTTCCTTCGTATTTCATATTTATTACTTTTTGTGTGGCGTAGTTTCTGGATGAAATGATTTAGTAGAACAAAAACAAGCATTATTTCATGCTTCATATCTTTGCTGTTTTACATTCGTAACATTATTATCAAATTATTGCATTTAATTTTAAATAGTTCTTGCATTTTAGATATCAACTGGAAGGAAAATTGCTATAAAAAAGATGAATATTTTGAAACAGCAGCGAAGAGAGTTGTTATTTAATGAGGTAAAAGATTGGAACTATTTAAATTAAACTTACTTTCCACAATTTCATGATTTCTCTGCATTTCTTTTTTGAAAGAAAAATATTTTTAAGGTTTTAATTATGCGTGATTACGAGCATCCTAACGTTGTTGAAATGTATGGTTCCTATTTGGTAGGTGATGAATTGTGGGTACTGATGGAATATATGGAAGGCGGTGCACTAACTGACATTATTACCCAAATGAGGTTTGCATAACTGGTTTTGTAACAAAATTTCAGTAAATATTTGGTAAAAATTTAATGGCATTTATTTTTCTGTATATTCAGTAAGCATGGTTTGATATGTCATGAATTTTCTAAAGCAGGAGGAGTATCTTTAATCACTTGCATTCTAACCATTTTTACTCTTTATTTCAGAATCGATGAACCAGCAATAGCAACCATTTGTGTGCAATGCTTGAAAGCGCTAGAATATTTACACTCCAAAGGCGTCGTACATCGTGATATTAAAAGTGATTCCATATTACTCACAAAAGACGGTGTAGCAAAGATTTCTGATTTTGGTTTCTGTGGTCAGTTATCGGTTGATATACCACAGCGGCGTAGCCTTGTTGGAACGCCATATTGGATGTCACCGGAGGTTATTTTACTTGTTTACGCAGCAATTTGTACTTACTTTTTATTTCAGTGGTACTTTGTAAGCAAAAACTATTCAAATTTTAGTAGTAAGAATATATAATTAACAGTCGTTCTTTTTCTTTGTTTGATTCATTTGTTTTAAAATTATAAAAATAGTTGCATCGCTTAAGCAAAAAAGAATTTTCGTTCAGGTAATAAGTAGGTTGCCATACGGTACCGAAGCTGACATTTGGTCATTAGGCATAATGGTCATCGAAATGGTTCAGGGAGAACCGCCACTTTTTAATGTTCAACCTTTACAAGCAATGAAAATGATTCGTGATAATGGACCGCCAAAAATTAATGAACCTGTGAACGTAAGTATTGTGCTTTTTTTGCGTTTTGAATTCTAAATTTAATGTAAAATGGTTTGTAAATTCTGCAGGAAACAACAAATTAGTGGTGACTCAAATAATGCTGTTTACTGTTCATTTCGCATTTTTTCATAGGTTTCACCTGAATTAGCTTCATTTATTTCGCAAATGTTGGTTCGTGATGTGAAACAGCGTGCTACAGCATCCCAACTATTAAATCATGAATTCTTGAAGAAAGCTTGCGATCCATCAGTAATATGTTCAATGATGAATATCACTAGAAATCTCGAAACTGTATAGTTCACGTGGAAAGAATAACGTAGTTTTTTTCTTCCTTTTCATTCTAGTCATAAGGTGAATTTTTTTTTTGTATAATATGTAACCGATTCATAAATTTTACAGACTTCAAAACTTAGTCAATATTACGTGATTTATTTTGAAAAAGCAAGCATAGGATTCTTTCTAATGATATATTTCTCCAAGAAAAAGGAAAGAAAAAAGACAAAGCATTAGGTAATTTATATCATGAAGATTTCTTGTTTATCAATAAAAAAAATATATGAGTTTGCACATCAATGTCCAATTGTTTTTTTAATCAGTATTTTAGAGTCATGTGTACAAACGACATTTGATGAGATCTAATGTAAATTCTCTGTTTTATGCCCTCTTTATAAGGCTTGAACAGTGATTGGTCTGAATTAATTTTTGATCTATTTCATATTATATTTTTTCTGATATATTTATAGTATTATCCTACTCGATTAATTACTAATTTATTTTTTGATTTTTCATTCGTTAATCAATTAAAATATTAAGTAGAAAAGTTTTTATTTGTAATATGAAGTCACTTATGTTTATAATTTATATTGCTCTTTTCTTAAGCATTCTATTTCTCGTCTTTCCGTGAATTATATTCCCAAACTGTTTTATACTACAAGCATTTTGATATTTCCAATTGTTATTCTGTATACTCATATGTCTGATTTCGATTTTTACCTCTTTTTCATATTTTTTTTTTTTTTTATTTTTTAAATTTATTTATAATATTATTCTACTTCTTTTCCTTTCCATCAAGTACTGCGTTATTTTTGCTACCTTTTTCTTGCCTTAACAAAGTGTCTTTTTTATATGCATTTACTTGTCTTTTTATATGCATTAGTTTTAAGTAATTTTTTTATGCTCATATGGAAATACTTTTTTGGCTGTAGAGGACGTATTGTCCGTCACTGTGTGCATTTGTGTTGTTTTTTTATTTTATTTTATTTTATTTTATTTTTTTTTTGGAAGCGCTGCTTAAATTCCCAGTATGCGATACAAAAATATATCATTGATATTCATTTTAGTAAAGTCAACAATGTAAACTTAAACCTGTAATGCAACCATAAGTCTTATTCATAATATAATAAATGAAATAAAGGAATAATAAAATATTAGGATGCTTCATCCCATCTGTATTATAGAGGCCATTTTGTACTTAAATGTTTGGAGTATTTCAAATATTTAACATATGGTCAAGTTCTCAATCTTTTGAGATGGTGTGTCGAAGTTCCATAAGGTTAGATGTGGAATAAGAGAATCTATAAATGATCTAATTTAATTTAACATTTTTCTGACTTGAGATAAGTTTCAATTTTCTGGACCATATAATGAAGCTTCAAGTTGAAGCAATGCATGATAAGCCGGCTTTAGAATTGAAACCTATGAGTAGAAGTTAAAAGTGAATGAATCAGTTATCCGGATTCGAAAAAAATCTGTTGCGGAAGTTGCAGTCATTAAATACGGTTATTGCTACTGCAGAAGTAAAACTTTATTAGACCCAATTATATGGAATTTATTAAACGATTAAATTCTGGATTTACAGCTTGAATCTCTCACTTTATATTTGATTACATTTTTTTCAATTAAGTTCAAAATTTATTTATTTTTAAATGAATTATATTTTTCTCACGTCTTTAACACTTAAAAAAGAATTTAGAAAAAATTAGAGTTTTCTTTTTTTGGTATTGAATTCATAAAAAATATTAGGAATTATCGGAATTTCTTAAAGATCCGTGTCTAGAACTGTGATCAAATTTAATTTTAATATTAAAAAATAATTGAAATCATTTATAATTGCAAATTTAATAATTTTCTACATTGAAAGTTTACTTCAATGATAAGAATTAATTAGATATTTGGGTATTTTATTTTTGAAATGAACCATAAATTAGCTTTAATGTTTTTACAATTTATACTGTTAAATAAAACATAAGTAAAACTTTTTTTTAATTATATTTTCTGCAATTTTTATCTAAAATGAATTATACACAAAATTTTTTTGCATATCAAAAACTGTATTTGAAATGAAATACAAAAAAAAAAAAAAAAAAACTTTTTGGTTTATCACAAAATGCGTAAATGTAATATTTTATGGAAATTTTTAAATTTAATTGCATAGCAAATCCACGTTAAACATTAAAAATATTTGTTTTTTCTTTTTACAGATTGAATTCTTTGCTATTCTTTCTTTTTTCAAAAAATTTTGATCAATTAAAAATGAGAAATACTTACAAAATAATTAAAATAATAAATTGTATTATAATATATTAATAGTAACATCAAAAATTTAAACTAATCAAATGTAAACAAATGTATAATTTTGCAATTCTATCAAAATTGAATAATTAATTATTGATTTGAAGGTGGCATAGCTATTTTAATAACAATGTAATCCTATTAATTGTGATAAATATTATATTAATCTGATATGGAACATAATTTATTATCAGCTATGTATAATTTGAAAGTAAAATTTGTTGGCATAAAATTAAAATTTAAAATTTAAATTAATCTTGTCATATTAGTCAATAACGATTATTTGCTTGTAAATTTTAAAAATAAAATTAAATCATTAAATTTATTTTAATAAGCCATTTGATGATGTAACAATTGTTACAAAACCTAAAAAAAGATTTTTTTCTTTTATTTTTTTTTGAAGATTATATAAATTTTAATGTTTAAAAAAAAATATTAGCAATTAATTTCTTAGTTACCTTTTGTTTGATTTATTTGTTAATTAATTATTTAATGATTATATTTTCTTTTATTATTATTATTTTTTTCAAATGACTTTTCATATCAGTTAAAGTTAAATTACTGAAAAATTCCTTTTTTACCTTTTTTTTTTTTTCAAATTATTCCATTTCACTCGTTTTTTCCTCCAACTATTTTACCTTATCATTTTTTTCTCTCTCCCTCTCTCTCTCTCTCTCTCTTTCTCTATTTTCCTCCTTTTACTATATTATATGTATTAGATTATTTAGCAAATTTTACAATGATTCATAGTTTTTGAAATTTGTATTTTTTTTTTCTTTAGCTCAAAATTTTCAAAAAAAAAAAAAAGGAATTAAAAAAATTTTTACTCAAAATTGCTATAATTATTTGATAGAAAAGAGGCAAAAAAAAAAAAAAAAGAAAACATTCTTAAATTTAAGATAGCATTAACAACAACAAATAACAAAAACAAGAATTTAAATTATTTTACAATTTTAATTTTTTTTTTTTTGGCTAAAAAAAATTTTTGTTGAAAAATAAATAAAAGCAAAAAAAAAAAAATAAAAAAAAATTTAATAAAATAAATTGATAAAATGATTAATTTCACTAAATAAACATCACATTGCATATGATTAAAGTTAGAAAAAAAAAAAAAAAGGAAATTAAAAAAAAAGAAAATTAAATTCCATAAAAATAAAATAAAATATAATTTGCCTTTTTTTTTTTCTCTCTTTCATTTTCATTTTATTTTTTTTTTTTTTTTTTTAATTCGAAATTGTATGATTGTAAACTGGATTTTTAACAATAAAATTTTTTTTCAAAAAAAAAAAAAGGAAACTAAGTTTTATATGAATGATAGAAAGAAAATGAAAATGTAATTCATTTTTCTTTTTTTTTTTTTTTCATTTTTTGAAAATGATACAAAATTTAATAGCAATTTTTACGCATAATTTACAATCAAAATAAAAAGGAAAAAAAAAAGTGAATAAAATATCTGCATTTTTAAATTTTTATAAAAATTATTTCAAAGGGAAAAAATGCAACTAAACTGGCAGTAAACTAATTTCAATTTATTCATATTTATTACTAAATAACATCAACTATGAATGAAATTTCAATTTCATACATTTTTATTATCTTAAAGTATTATTTAAATTTACTTTTGCTATCAATTATTTTCTTAGTTGTAACCTAATTCTTAAATACTTTTTCGAATTTCTCATATTTTTGAGTGTTAACTGAATTTTTATTTTTATTATTTAATCCATCCATTTATTTTGTTCCCAGGAATATTAAATTAATCACTTTAAGTGAATTTTATTTCGTTTTATTCAAATTTTAATGCGATTTGAAAATGAAAAAATCAAAGTATTTCTTAGAACTAAAATGAAATAATTGTTAGTTTTATTAATTATTATTAATTATTTTATTGCCATTATTATTGTCAGTAATTTTGATTGTTTCAATACTAACATTGTTATTACCATTGATTGTTACTGATATTGCTGTTATTACTATTATTATTATTATTATTATTATCATTCTTGTTATTAGTATTGTTATTATTATCATTATTATTATTTTTATTATTATTATTATTGTTGTTACTGATATTGCTGTTATTATTATTATTATTTCTATTTTTATCATCATTGTTACTCTCATTATCATTATTACTATTATTACTATTATTATTAATATTAGTATTGTATTACCTTATTACATTTATAAACCATTGCTATTACTATTCAACGGCCTCTGAAAATGATTTAAATAATTGTGTTTGCTTTTTTTGTGAACTTCCAAAAAATATAATTTTAGCAATTGATTCAAATTCCTTAGTATTTCAGTACTTAGTGATAATTCCTTTCTAAATTATTTTAAAAAGTTAGATTACACATTAATTTATATAAGAAATTAATACACTTTATTAAAACGTTAAAATGTGATTGAAAAAGTTTGAAATTAATGTAAAAAATTAATGTTTGTATTGATTTATTATTTTTTTTTTTTTTTTTGAGTTTCTATTAAATATTAGATATCGCTGGATAACTGTAGAATTTAGACTTCAATTTAAAATAATGCAAAAAAAAAAATCGAATAATCAGAGTAGAAATTCTAACTTTAATGATAAATAAAATCCAATAAATAAATAAACAAAATTAATGAACAAATAAATGATAAATAAAAATTCCAATTCTAATTTTTGATGTAAAATTAACTTTTTTTCAAATATCACAAAATTGAAAATTTTCATCAATTTTACG